TGTCGGCGGAGGGCGGCTGAGTGCGGCCAAGGGTCCGCGCGGTGACCTCCTGTCGCCGTGCGCTCCCCTTCAGTGAGCCTGTTCGCCACGGGGACCAAGCCCGCTGGCTGCAGAGACCCGGCTCCGCGGCGGCGGTGGAAAGCTCTCGCTGTCCCGCTCTACGCGGGACTGAGCTGTCGGCGCTGTCCTGGCGCGATGCGCTGAGCGCCCAGAGGGCTGAGCGCCCGGCTCCCCCGCTGCACCCAGAGCCGACCCCATGGAACCAGCAGGCACCAGGCGGAGCCTGCTGGCGCCGCCGCCTGGGCTTCTGCTGCTGCTGCTCCTGCAGGTGGCGGGACCCGCGGGCACCCTGGCAGAGACCCTCCTAGACTCTCCGAAGGCCAGGGGCACCAGTTCCAGCCCGCCTAGCCCGGCGAGCGTGGTGGCTCCGGGAACCACGCCATTTGAGGAAAGTCGTCTGCCGGTGTTCACTCTGGATTACCCCCACGTGCAGATCCCCTTCGAGATCACCCTGTGGATCCTGCTGGCCTCCCTGGCCAAGATCGGTAAGCGAGCTGGACCTGCAGGGTGGGGGCGGGGACGATTGCGACGCAGACGCCTGGTGGGTGACCTAATAGGTGAGTTGACCTCCTAGTCCTGGCCATCTGCTCCTGAACAGAGGCGACTCATAGAGCAACTTCTGCCCACTGAAAAAGTCTTTGAGAAGAATAGTTTCATGCTTTGGTTCCTAAGTGGCCATTGGCCTTGAAATGGCCCATACAAATTTAGCGATTTGGTGTTTGATCCTGTTTTGAACGTCAAGTTTGACAGCTCTTTGCCAAAGTGAGACCTGTTTGCTGAGGGAGGAAGTGGGTAGGCTGAAGCATATCAGTCGTACCTACAGGAGACAGGTGCAAGTGAGCACCAAGGCTAAAATCATTAAAGCCGTGGATGCTGGAGGAGAGAGGGCATTGGCTGGCAGTGACACAGACCCTACCGTGGCCCTGACTAATGAAGAACATGGAAGGGGACCTGCAGCATGGACATGAGTGCCCTGTCTCCTTCCTTTTTTTTTTTTTTTTTTTTTTTGAGCTGAGACTGTCACTCTCTAGGAAACATTTCCTTTAGAATGACTGAGGCCAATGAGGTGAGAGGCACATATTTAAAGATAACTAACTTTGCACATCATCTTTAACTCCTATTCGGAAAAGAGAACACCTAGGATGTGTTTTCTCATCTTTACCCTTCCTACCAGTAATCTTTTACATTATATTCGTGGTGCTGTCTTTCATTTTCCCTCTACATTTTAAAGACTCTTGTAAAGCCCTTAATGTATGTTAACTACTATTGTAATGATTTGAAAAAGGTATAAGGTCAAAAGATTTTGTACATTATCTGTTCTCCTTGTGGGGTGAGGCAGTTTTCCATAAAGGATGAAAGAACACATTATCTGTCACCCCCAGGAAATGTATTAATTAGTGGAGAGAGGCATATACAACAGTGGTTATATCACACAGGAAAGTGCTAATAGGGTGAGAAATTCATAAAATATAACATGGCAATATAGAATGTCTGGGGTCACTTTCTTGGGAGAGGAAGCATGCAAACTGGGGTTTCAAGGATGACCAGGGACTAGTCAATTGGAGATGAGGGGGAACAACATTCCAGACCAGAATGAACAAAGGCATAAATTGAAGAGGACCTCAAGGCAGGCGGAAGGGATGATTTGTAAGAGGCTGGAAGTTGTGGGAGGTAAAGATAAAGCACATCTTCCATGTCAGATTAAATTAATTAGATTCATGGTGACCAAAGAAGCCACATAATAGTTAATGACTTTGCAGTCTCTAATTGCTTGGCTTTGGCATAATTCTGCTTGTTGAGTGTTTTCATTCCTCCTGAGCAACAATGTAAAGGAAATGGACTTCCCCATCTATCCATCAGGTGCATAAACTCATGGCCTCTAATAGTAAAATCAGATGCCATCTCTTCATATGAGTCTTACAACATCCCTGCCCTGTAGGGAATCCTGATACTGACACTCTCACTTTATACAGGTACAAACTGAGGCTCAGAGAGTTTATACCCAGGGGCATGCCAAGTCAGGAGATGGGTGCAGAGTTCTCTTCACCTTCAGGCTGAGTCTAGCAGCTCCATCCCTGGCAGGTTCTTTGTGGTCCCTGTCCATTACTGCTTTTTCTGTTGCCTTTTCTACTCCAACCTCCTTCCTCTGTTCTTCACTCCTGATTATTTTAATCGGATTAATTACACTAATAACAGCAGCTACTAGGTACTTAAGTTCATTATCTCTAATTTTCACGGCCTCTATGCTGGGTTGGTATGATGAGCCTGTTTTGTGTAGTAGGAATCTGAGACGTGGGGAGGTTTATTTGATGTTTGTGTGGTGGGGGGTTGGGGGGAAGCCAGAATTTCAGCCAGGTCAGTCTGATGCCTCATCTTTGTGTGTGCCCTGGAGACTTGTTGTGTTGTGCGGATTGAGAATGGATATGCAGAGCATTGTCAGAACAGTGCTGGGGCATGTAGTAGCCCTGCATCAGTGCCCTCACCCTTAGTGGCAAGTGTGATGGTAGACCCGTGAGAGCAGCACTATTAATTGTGCTGTTTCTGGCACTTTAGTTCCTTTTCCACTGTCCTGGGCTGCCTCCGGTATTTCTCTCCAGCTGACTTAGTTTCAGCCTTTTTCAAGTGTCCTTATTCTGGGAGTGATGCACTTGATGTCTTTTCGTGGTGTTCTGTTCATCTTATTTGACCTCATCACTTTCATTGTGTGGTATTCTGTTAAAAGTCATCCCTGCTTGCTTATGTTAAAAGTCCGCAAGTGCATCTATCTGCCCATGGGCAGTTTCTTAGCCTGCATGTGTTTCTCTTTCCTGGCCCAATTCTTTTCTACCTGGCACAGTTCCTCCATCCTGTATTGCATTTCACTGTGGAAATCATTACATATCCCACTTGCATCCTCCAGATCCACCTGCCAATCACCCAGTTCTACACTATTTTATCTTTGCACCTGGAGCAATGAAGAGATACAACAAGCATATTCACATCTTCTGTCCAGAGAGGAGTCTGAGCTGCCAAGTGTAGTATGTGATGGGTGAGGTGAAGGGTATGGTTCTTGGGATGAGCAAATAGAGTTTTGGAATACAAAAAACTGGTACTGAATCTTGTGCTGTTTTTGCTTTCCGCAGCTCAGCCCTCTCCTGCTTCTTCAACTGTGTACCTAGAGGAATGAATGCTCCCAAAGTTCCAACCCTTGCTCCTGCCCCTGAGCCCTGAACTTTGACTTTGGGCAACACTGTCCCAGTCCTTTTACGACCCATTGAATAGTCACCAAGTCATTGAAATTCTGTTCTCACTTACGTGTTGGAAAAGCTATTTTTGGGGGGTGGGTAACTTATGTATCCTAAATTGTTCCTATTTGGGAAGGAGGGTGAATTGGGCTAGGTAGGGGATGTGACCCTACAAAGGTAACACTCTTGCAGAGTGCTATGATTTTATTTGGGACACTTCATGCCATTTACCCAGAGTACCTGAGCTTACCTGTCCCAGAGAATGTGGAGAGACATTACTAGTGATTATTCTATAAAAGAATAACAGAGTCCCGAAAGTGGAAACTCCTCTTAGCATTAGTAGCAGGTTTAAATAACCCCCAGTGGTGAATTTACAGTGGTTTTCTAAATTGCAGCACATTATAATGTTAGAAATATTATAGTTAGGACTGAGAAAACTCTAATTTGGAGGAGCATTGGATGATTCCATTTAGCTGCTCATTGTTTTACCTAACTATCAGAGAAGAATCAGCCTCCTAATTATTTGGATAAAAAAATAGTAGTTTTATAATTATAAAATCTCCTAAAAGTCTGATGGTGATGATGATGATGATGGTATGCATGTGTATGTGAAGAAGTCTAGAAAACCAAAAGAACACAGTACATTTAGTACACTTTGGAGAAGCCTTAAACGTTTTGGCAAGAAACATTTCCTAGTTTGTTTTTTTTCCCTCTTAGGTCCTCACACACGTGAACTTTTATTATTCTTTCACTTTGAATATTTATGTTTTGAGCAACCCTTGATTTTTTTTTTTTGTAGTTATAAATACACTTTGCCTGGTCAACCCTGGATGCAGGGATGGAGTTCTAGAGCTTGGAAGATTAGGTTGCCAAGGAATGAATAAAAGGAAAATTTCCTGGTGTGGTTCAGGATCATCGGCTCTGATTTCTTGGCCCATGAATTGGGTCAGTGGGGTTTGTGCTCACCTGAGCGAACGGAAACTCCGGGTCCCCTACTCTTTAAAGGAACAAAGCTCCCGAGGGTCTCCCCGGGGCTGGTCTGTCTGCCTCTCCTCCCAGGTGGAATGGTCATTTGTCCTTTTCGTTTCCTTTGCCCCTATTCTTGAGGTAAGGCTGCAGAATCTTCCACTTCCTCCCATTCTGTTGTCTTAGAGTCGAATAACTTGAATTCTTATCATTTTAAGGCAATGGCAGAAAGCAATTTGACCCAAAGAAGATGTGTCCTCTGGGCTCCAGGCTGTCCTGAATCTGAAATATAAAACTTGAGAGCTACGTGTCTGCCTCAATTACAGAGATTTTTATCTCTGTGATTACCCATCCTTGCAATGGGTCTGTTTCTTTGTGCTGTTGGTTTACCTGAAGTGTGTGGCTGGCCACGGTATGAATCTCCTGACCTTCACCTATTATTTCAATGACATCTGGTGTCGAACACACTTTTAATGTCAGGTATTCCTTGTGGCATGTGCTGGGTCTCAGTCAAACTGAGAGTTTTGACTCCCTTCTTTCTGGAAACTTCCATCTACTCTCATGGGAATGGGACATACATTTTGTGTACCCTGTGTGAAGACTACAGAAGCTCTCTCATGTTTTTTTTCTGAAGACCAACCCAGGTGTGTTCTAGAATTTTGTCACTATGCTCTACTACCCAGGTGTTTTTGAGCCTTTTAAAATAATAACAGATAACTGTTTGCCAGTTGAAAATGGTGCTCTGTATCAACTTGAACAAGGAGAGTCATATTTATCATTGTTGGGATCTTTGATTTCTTTTTTTTTATGGCAACTCTAATTTTTTTATTTCTATTTTTCCTTATTACACATTCAGAGCACAAGTTTTCATATCTCTGGTTGTATACAAGTATATTCACACCGATTCATGTCTTCATACCTGTACTTTGGATAATAATGATCCTCATATTCCACCATCATGTCTAACCCCCTGCCTCCTCCCTTCCCCTCCCACCCCTCTGCCCTATCTAGAGTTCGTCTATTCCTCCCATGCTCCCTCTCTCTATCCCACTATGAATCAGCCTCCTTATATCAGAGAAAACATTCAGCATTTGGGTTTTTGAGACTGGGATTTCTTACAGAATTTTACTTACCTTGAAACCCTAAGAAGTACATAAGGCTTTATACAGAACTTTGTATAAAATTGTTTGCTTTCTTATATGGTTGGATAAACTAACCTACATAAAACTATGTGAATTTAATGTTTTTTATATATAGGTAGGTAGGTTTTTGACCAATGATTTCATTGCTTTGAT